GGATTGCCCCAACCCAGGTGCAATCCTCTGATAATGTATCTGCTCTTTGAGACCAGGTATGCTACCAACATCTTGATGCAGCTCTGGAGTCCCTCCACTTGGCTGCTCATGTCGATGGCTAGAAGAGCCTCTGTCCCCATCCTTCACAGGTGGATAACTTTCAGTTAAACTTGAAGTTCTTGATCATCTTCAGCACAGGAGTCTGTCTTTAGGGAAAACCTGGACTCACCTTTCAAGGTTTTTATGCTTAAGTCCATGGTAGCAGGTGGGGGGGGGTGGGGAATGACCTGTGTTTTTTGATGTCACTTCCATAGCACAGCCACAAGACCATTTCAGGTTTCCCTTCTGCTTGCTTACACAGCCTTGTCTAGGTGATGTGTGAGGAGACACCCATGTAAAGAGATGTGCAGGTAAGGTCAAAAGAGAGTGTCTCATGCAGTGCCTGCTTGGGTTCTTATTAAAAAGATTTTGTTTCCATCTTTAAAATAACAATTTAGTAGAGGAATTCCTATCCTGGAAATATTGTTTTCTTCCAAAATGAAATACTCACATGCCTTCATTTTCCTGTTAACTCATAAGTCTGTACACAACTCCTTTTCTGATTATGCAAGAAAATCTGCAGTAACATGCCTAGACTTCCTGATTTTTTTTTTATTTTTACTTTATTTATTTTCAGATTCCTTTTAAACTTTGGTGGAGTCAATCCATCCGTCTTTCTCATTTTCCTTTTGAGAAAAGACAGACCAAAAACAAGGAAGAAGAGTCCATGCTGTCGTAATCACTGCAGCTCATGGACAGGGTTTCTCCATTTTTGTTCTCCATGTCATCACCCTTTTTTTTTTTTTTTTTTGGTGATATTTCTCTGTTTGAAATGCTGTTGAAGCTTTGTCAGGGCGAGGAGGATGAGAGCAGGAGAGCTAAGGCAGGGCTAGAGCAGCCTGAAATACACCCTTACATTTGTTTCTGCTTCCTGTTGTTTTTGTGATAATAAATAAATTTAAAACACAGTTTTGGAAGCTGTGACCATGAATCTGTTCAGAGGAGGACTGGGGTTTTTTTTCTTTAGCAGTGATGATGGAGATTCTAAACTATTTTAACCAAACTCTCATGACAGTCTCAGACTGCTTCCAGCCACATGTGTGCCCTGAAAGTGGGAAGCCCCGGTGAGAGGCTGGTGTCAGTGCCCTTCTCCCACACCCCTCTGTGCAGGCTGAATGGTGTTCACCCTCGCAGCTCAGCGCTGAAGGTGGAGGCCCGTGCTCATCCCGGTGCTGCTGGCTCGTCCAGAGATGGGCTCACAGTCGGAACACAGGTTGTTGAATTCAGTCTTGATTTTAAATGGGGGACGGGGGACACCAACAAAAAACCGCAGTACCCTCCACGCTTTCTACTGCTGTCTGATTTCTTGCTCTCAGCAGTTAAAATTGTTTCACAAATGAAAAATGTGGTTTGCGGATGGAGGTTTTGGTTAGCACTGTGTACACATTGGCATGTGTTCCTGTCTTTTCGCTGCCCGTGGAACAAACTTACGTACAGTCTCGCGGAAAAGCTCGCTGAAGGCTTAAATTTCGCAGCACTCGCGCAGCATGGTTGGAGCTGATCGCTTGACCTGTTTTCCAATAAAGCGATCTGTTTGGCTGTGTGATTAGCTTATCATTCTTATAAATACCTTGCTAAATGTTTGTGGGCAGAGGGACTGCCTGTTATTTGTGGCTACTGTAAATTTTTTTCTCTTTTCCTTTTTCTTTTTGCTTAGTAGAGCCAAGTCCACAAGTTCTGCAAGTGTTTAGCAGGTAACTTCACATGTGCAGTTGAAGGGATTACAGACGTGTATGCAGTTGTTTCTGCATAAGGACTTCCTGGATTCAGCAGTTAAATTGTTAAAACTTGAAAGAGGCTGCTAAACAACAGTGTTCCTGAGACACTGGAGTTCAAATGGTAATTTTTATTATAAAACATTAATCAAAATACAAATTTTCAATTGGCACTGTGCTGCTTAAACATTCTTTCTTTAAAGTTTCAAGTAGGTTCCTGGTAAGGTGAACCCATATGTGCTTGGAAGAAGAGTAACTTGCTACATATCAATCCGTTTCTGACAATTTAAAGAAAAAAAAAAAAATTACAGTACTGCTTTTTCCTGGTGTCTCTTAAAGTGAGAGTTAGTTAAACTCCTGGTAGATTTCCCTGCTGTGGTTTTGATGTGTTTCTGTGTGAAACGGATGGCAGGATTTGTTCGAGTATGTAGGCCACTATTGTATTAGAATTACATAACCATGTTGAGTGGTGGAAACGGATGAAAAGACGGGGATGTACAGCGTCCCCTCACAGATTATATCCTGCAACAATGAAGACAGCTCAAGCTCTGCAGAGAATGTGGTCACATGCAGTCAAAAAGTTGGGGATTTTGAAAGGGCACGTGAGTTGCTTTTTGTTGCATCTTGCTCCAAGTCTTTCCCCCCCTCTGCCCTCCTTGTATATCCCTCCCCTCTCCAACTCAGTTTTATAGCCAGATAGCCGTTGTGGCAGGTCTTCTGGTTTTGTTCTTCTTTCGGTGTGAATGAAGTTGTCTTCGGTGGTCTCTCAGTAGCAAGTGATTGCATAAATTTCTGAGGACCGTCAGTGAGAGTTGCAACAGCTGCCTGTTCGTAGCACACGGACGATTTTAGCACTTTGACGAGTTTCCTGCCAAAGATTCTGTTAAGCAGTCTGTTTCGGGTATGTAGAAAGCACCTGTCATTTTGGGATATGAGCATTAGGGAGCTTTAAGCAAATCCTGACTGCGGTGTTCTAATTAGAAATGGACTGACTTTAGTCACTAATGAATTTAGACTAGCTAATTACAGTAATTTGCACTTACTGCAGGTAGCCTGCTATGTGTGTGAAACCTGGATAGACTTGCAGAACAGTTACTGTTAGTAACTGTAGATGGGGTTCTTAACCCTTTTCCCTGACTCTCCTTCTCCAGCCTTTTGGTGTACAGTCTCAGTGAAATTGGGATCCTGCAAGGGATGCACAGGCTGCTGAGGATCCCTCTGTGTTTCCTTACAGCTGAAGAAATTGGCAAGGTGATGGAGGCTTTTTGTAACACCCCCCCCTCCCTTGGTGCATTCAGAGGAGAGTCATTATTGGACAGGGAATACAGGAATTTTGCAATTGTAGTGAAGGCTTCAATCTTAGTTTTGATCGAGGCCTCAGCTGATGATTTATAACATTTATAGTTTCTCCCTCCCTCTCATCCTTCTCCTTTAATCCTTCAGTCAGTATGGGTTAGCATCGTGGCAATGGCAAGCAGCAGTACGTTTTAGAATGTTAAAGAGATTATTGCTTAGAGATTTGAGGGAGTACAGATGTGTTTTGTGCCTTATGGGCTTCCAAGGTGACCATTCAGTTCCCTGAGCTGCATTACAGCGCCTGCCAGCTTTGGGGGTATGGCAGGACTCGTGCTGTTGTCTCGGTAGTTATGTTGCACAAAGTCAGCTTTGCAAGTGCATAGTGCACTTCACAGGATACAGCAAATGGGAGACAGTTTGGCAAGGAGCAATTTTTAAAAATGTGTACTTCAACAAATACTTACAAATTTAAAAGTGAATTATTGAAATAGCTTTTGCTGAATGTTCAGTAAGAGTTTCAAGCTGAAAATAACGCACATACACACCCCCCACCAAATTTACACAGAAAGTACCTGTGATGGTTACTGATAGTATGAGGAACTTTTCTAGTTACAGATGAGATGATACCATAGGCTTAACCTCTTGCAAGACCTTAACTGTAGTGTCTGTAGCCAGTAGTTTCTCTTTCATTCTTAATCATTATTTTTGTGACCAGTTAACCATGAGACTTATTTGTCAGAGCAAAATAAACTTAAGCCTGTTAGTTTACAGTGCTTTGAGGTACTACACAATGCGTATCTCCAACTGCGCACAGGTTTTACTGGTGCCACTGCTCCTGGGAGGTCTAGTTTTCTGGAGGGAAATTCCTGTTTCATAGCCATAAATCCCTTCCCAATATCTTTACTGTGCTTTCCCTAGTCTTTTCTCTGTGGTGTTGTATTGAAGCAGTCGTGTCAGGCCTTCCTTTAGTAGGTAGTGTACTGAACGACCTGGTATGAGAGTTTCTGGACGAGTAGGGCAGCGGTGCAGCTCTTTGTCCCCAAGGGCTGTAAGCTGTCATCGATTGCATCCTGCCTGCTGTGCTATTTTGCCTGTGCAGAGCTGGACCCAGAACTCTGGGCTGGGAGTCAGTGTCACTAAGAAGTGCATACAGTGCAGTCTGAATTTAAGTAATGTTCTTCTTAGACTTGAAACTTGTGGAGTCTTTTACACGGTGAGTAGGATGGAAAAGATTTTTGATCTCCCCTGTTACTACAAAATTTGAACCCACCACTTGTCCTTCAAATTTTACCCATCGTTTGATACTGTCTTTCATTTTTAAAACCTTCTTCAGTGAAGTCAGCTGGAATGTAAATGACACTGAGGTCATTATTTAGCACAGACTGTTTTTCTGCAGAGCTTAGAAGTATCATATAGAAAATCAGGACAGTGATGGTGTAGCCAAGGGTTGTAGCAGGTAAATTCTTTACACGTTCTCATACATGCCAGACAAGCAAGCCTAGTCACTTCAGTGTACCGCAGCACGACAGCAGCTCAGAAAAAGTGCTTGGTTAAGGAGAAACATTTTACTTACGGAAGGTTCTCTGTGTAAAGGAATACACGTAGTGAGACAGTTGACATGTCAGCTGATTAAATGGGAATATGAGATAAAATAATTTCACTGTGTGCTTTGGCAGAGTAACTCCCTGACCCAAGACATACATGTTTTAATAAGAACAGTTATAAATGCCACTCACTGATGAGTAGAAATTTAGAAATAGTCACTTGTATTATTTTTAATGTAAGCCATCCTCTTCTCCAGATATTTTAAATGAATTTTTTAATTAGACCCCAAAAGTTCTGGAAACCAGAGAGCGTTACTCATTTTCTGGGAGAACAGTGGAAATTTAACACTGTTCAGTGTTGTAAAATTCCTGGTAAGAATGCTGATTTTTTTGTGTATTCTCTCAGGAACTCTGAGCAAGACTTAGGATATAAGTTTGTTTTTCAATACAGTGAATGTGCAGTGAAAAATATAAAACTAGTTCTTCTTCAGGGTGCTCAGAATCGACTGGAAGAATAATACATCATGGGGTTCTTTGCATTCGAGAAACAGCATCCGTAGGTTGTGTACATCCAAAAGACTTTTACTCTGGAAATGAGGAGGATGATTCAAAGTACAGGCATACACTCCTTCTGTCGCTTCTCCTTCTATTGTTTTGGAGTTTAGTTGCCAGTAATCCCTTTAATTCCTTTAAGAGGACCGTTAAGTGAACACTGAGCAGTCTGAACTTCAGTTTTCTGAGCAAACTCTTAGCTTTTCAGGAAAGAAGGCCACCTTCAGCAGTAAGAACAGATAAACCTCGGCATGAGTGTGTTTGTGCACATGCTTGTGCAATGTCAGGATTTTTATTCTGCAATGGGTGTTTTGCAATTTGTGGTGTTTGCAGTGCATAAAATACTGTGGCTCATTTTCTTCCTCGTTTTACAGGGCAGGCACTGAAGGGGCTGGATGTGTGCTATATGATGCGTCACAGCTGGATGATTATTCTGTGTTATATTTTAAGCTGTGATGTTGGAAAGATTTCAGGTTATATCATGTAAGATAAACTGATCGGTTGAGGATCAGTTTTAACTGGAAATGTGGGGAAAAAAATGTTTCTGAGAAGTGTCACAGAAATGGATACACCAGTGCTATATAGTGATATACTGTGTTTTCCTGTAAAATTTAATTTCTTGAGGGGAACCTAAATACTCATGTAGTTCATAGTGGATGAAACATTTTGTTAAATCCACATGAACAAGAAGCAAAATTTCTGACGACTAATTTGTTTTGAAAACCACAGTTTCAAATTACAATCTTGTTGCATTCCAAAACTTCCTTGAGTGTTTCATGTGTTATTTGAATTGGGGCTATATAATGCTAGTGTGGTCTGAATTAAATGCTTTTCCTGAATGAGACTTCTCCAGAAAATCAGAATGAACTGTTAAGTCAGTGAAATGTGAAGGGATCCTACCGCCCCAGACCTTTTAATGTTGTTTTGCCTTTTTAAAGAGAAACCCTCATTAATTGAAATACATCCATTTCGTACTAACTCTTCCAAATTATTAGAAGATGCATATTGTTGTTATAACTGTGTTTTAGTGGGCTGTTTCACATCTTAACTTAGATAGTTGTATGCTTTGTGTTTTACTGATTGGTTTCTGTGTGCAACAGGCCCCAGGCATGGAAGAGCTGATATGGGAACAGTACACTGTGACCTTACAAAAGGTGAGTGAGTGCCTGTTTTTAGTTTTAAAATATGCAAGCACTGGTTTAATCTAAATACGTTTTACAATAGATGTTATTAGCGTATCTGAGTCTAGAATGGGGTTAATGCTTGCCCAAATCAGATTTGGTTTTCACTTTAAAGCTTGATTACTAGTTAGTCATACAATAGCGTGAGTCTTTAATGTTAATTAACAATTGAAGCACTATATTTGCTACGGTTCGGTCTTTGTAATGACAGTATAATATGCCCCATGCCAGCCACAGAGCTAAATTCGTCACTGAATAACCTTAAAGCAGGTGGTTCTATCAAGCAGTTGTGGTTAATATCCAAGCTTTATAATAATCACTGAACGTTATTCCACCGATTATGGTGTGTGTGTGTGTACATATGTACGATGTATACACATATATATGTTCTACACTGGTAGATATTAAAGTGTGTGTATATATATGTATATATACTACCGGTGTTGAATCTAGTGGAAAGTTACTGTCATCAAAATTTCTAAAATACATGGACTATAGATGTCACTTTCAACAATTCTTCTACTAAAAGAGTAAGTGTATCTTGCTATGTCGAGTTCTTTTGAGTTAAAGAATGTAGACCTCGTTTCTGGTGGCCTGTGGGGACCAGGCTACCACACCATGGTACAGGATGCACTCTTTGGCAGCGGCGGTGGCGGACTTCCCACCTGTTCTGATGGTCTGGGTACAGTGAGCAGCCTGTGCAGTGCTGCTTACTAATTTTTACATGTCCTGCAAGGAACGCAGCTTGATGACCCAAGGTAAAATAGCAGTCTTTCCTACACAACCTGTTTTATGTGCTGAATTGTTGGGAAAAGGTTGCTTTTCAGCTTAGAAGGTAGACTGGAGAAACATGGCAGAAACAGACTTTAATTCATGTGTTTGTCAACTTTTCAGATCTTGAATTAAATGAGCATTCCTTCTTTGCCTCAGAGACAGGCTGAGGCCCCTGAAGAGGCAAAGGTTTATTAGACTTGCTGCATCAACCACTACTAATGAATTTTACCATTATTTTGAATTCTGTGTTGTTTTGTCTAACACAGGAAGAAGTTTGATATTTTCAGCTGTGGTACAGCAAGTGACGTGTTGTTTAAAAAAAAAGAATAAAAGTAGCTTTTTTTCTTCCTCAAAGAAATAACCACTTAATAGTGACATTAGTGGACCAAGAGCTGGCATGTCATGTTGAACACATGCCGGATGTGCGTTGGGGGAAAAGCGTGACTTTGATTTGGTGCATTACTTTGCCACTGTGTTAAAAGGTTTTGTTTAAGTGTGGCATAATTTGTATGAGGTCCGTGTTAAACAGCTGGTAAAAGTAAACCTGTACGTTTAACTAAACGTCGAGTTTTGTGCACACCTTCTTGTCTGCAGATCAGTTATGCTAAGAGTCTAACGTGATAGAAGGCATCTGTCTAGAAGATAGATGTCCAGATAGAAGTCCAGGGTGGATGAGGCTTTGAGCAACCTGGTCTGGTGGAAGGTGTCCCTGCCCATGGCAGGGGGATTGGAGCTAGGTGGTCTTTAAGGTCCCTTCCAACCCAAACCATTCTGTGGTTTTATGATTCTAAGACATGCTTCCTTTGCACCCTGTTGAGTATTTCCCTGATGTTATGAATGCCATCTTAGGGCCTTCATGGTTCTGGTATTTACATGAGGACACGTTTGATACAAAATACATATTTAAAACAGTTGATTGTGAGAGAGGGTGATTATAGAGAATTCACAAGTTCAGTGAACTTCTTGTAATCAGTCGTGGTCTCATTTAGTCTGATCAAGGGGTAAGTAGTTGTTACAAACTGGATAGCAATCATTATGGACATGAGGTCCTGGGAAAGCTGTTCTAGTTTCCCAAACATCACTAACAAAATAGATTTATCTTACAATAGATTTGGCATGAGTAACCTGTGGGATGGCGGAGCAAAATGCAGGCTAATTTAGTGAGTCTTTTGCTTAATTACTGACCGTCACAAGGCTGTAGAATGAGGTTTGGAACACAGAAACATGGCATCTTGTTACGGGGATTTGTAAACCCGTTCCTTCTTAATTCTAGATGTGCGGTGTAGTTCTGCAACTCTCTGCACACAACTATATTTTTAAATGCTGTCTAGTTAGAGTGCCAGTACAGGATCTTTCATGTCACTCTTCTTTCTCCCTATCAAAATGCCTGTGGATGGAATTGAGTTTTGCTGCATTTGTTTTTGTTGTAAAGGATTCAAAACGAGGATTCGGGATCGCTGTCTCTGGCGGCAGAGATAACCCTCATTTTGAAAATGGTGAAACATCGATAGTCATTTCCGATGTTCTCCCAGGTGGTCCAGCAGATGGATTACTTCAGTAAGTAGTTTCTTATTTCTCTGTCTGGCATATTTTGAGGGGCACGGCTGTAGAATATGTAAAACCTTCAGACAGGATTGGTGAAAGTCATTGTGATTTAATCCACTCAAGGTACAATGCCCTCGTGAAAACCTAGATGTCTGTTTTAATTTAAAAAAATAAACCAACAAAACAAACAATCTCCACCAGGAGATGTTTTTATTTGCTGTTTTGTAAGAAATTACATTTCAGCAGTGCTGGAAACCTTTCATAGTTAAGTATGTTTCTCTTAAGATTACATTTCTTTTAAAGGAACAATAGAAATACGTAGTAACTTAGAACTTTCTCCCTGTTCCTCCTTCAGGAAACACAGTAACCAATCATTAGTTTAAATCATGGTTTAAGTTAGCCTAGCGAAGAGTCTTCACTCCTAAAGTGCCAGGAGCAATAATGGGGGAAGACAAACAAAAATGTTTGCTAAATATTTATATTTGACAGACAGCACTGAAATAAAGTGTTTCTGTAGTCCTTTGCTAACATCATCCTTGGTGAGGCAACGTCTGTTAGGAACAAATAATTTTAAATGTGTAAGCTGAGATTAACAGTTTCTAGCCCACTGCTGTTCAGTTTTTCACCCTTTGCCCTGGAATACCTAGTGAGAACTGGACAATTTTGAAGAATGCCAGAGTTGTGCAGTAACAGTAACTCAAAATAAGTAGATCCTGGCCATTTGCCAAACGTTGATCTTTGACGAGGTAATGAGCAGGCTGACATGGAAGTAGTTACTGAAGGACTGGATAAAAGGATTATTGTGAAGCAGGTGACAAACGGTTCTCGACATAAACATGCAAAACCTTGGGTTTATAGCAGTGATCCCTGCACAACACAACTCTGTCATCCCTCCATTATCACCTGCAATTTGGGAATAAAATCATATCCACAAATTATGCAAGGTCCTAGGTAAATTGATGGTGACGAGGCAATACCAAGCAACTTAAGCACATTCAGACAAAACATGTTCTGAAGAAAACTGAATGCACAGCCATTCCTCTCCAAACACAGGGAATGTAAGCCTAACCTTCAGAGTGTGGGACAATTGCATATTATCAATCCTTTTTAGGGTAGAGTGAGCATAAACAGATGGGAGCTCTTGACGCAGTGTTAAAACATTAAGTGTGATACTGGCTTTGGATGTATGGGCTCTGAAGAGAACGGTTTTAACTCTCACATAAAGCCTGGATGAAACGGATACTGGAATATAGTGTGCTGTTCTGGCATACTCATTCAGTAAAGGAATTGGAAGGGTATGAAAAGAGGCACAAAAATAATTCAGGAGGTAAAGTCCCTTACGAAGAGAGGCTTAAAGTATGTAATCTTCTTATTTAAAAAGAAGCTTGTGATGTGACTTGATTATAGTGAAGAGAAAATAATGGGTAGTAAAGATTTATCTAACAGAAAATGGCACGGCAACCAGTAATGGGTTGAGCTAATGCTCTGACTGGAATGTTAGTAAATTGAGTAGTTACAGGAATAAACTAGTATGAGGAGGGTTAGGTTACATTTTTTCTTCTTAATCTCCTGCACTTTTTGTGCTGAAATCGTTTCTGCAAGGTATGTTTTCTAATTAATCATGTGTTAATGGGGCTTCTGGGGATCTCCGAGTTAGGTCTTTATAGTCTATTTGACATGCAGGAGGTCTGAATAGAGTTAGTCATCTCTTTTGTCCTGTGTTTTAGGGTAGGGAGGACTTTTTGTTGTATTACAGCTCGGCTGTGTTTCCACGCTGGCCACCCCCCACCTCCACCCCCTTCCTTGAGAGTAGATGGGACCTGAATAGCAGCCTTTCAGAAAAGTATACTGGAGTGGTACTTCTCAAGATTTGTCTGAATACTGCTATGGCTGCAGCAATTTGAAGGTCTCTTGGAATTCCTATGTTGGTGTGGAAAAAAGTTTAGCACAAGGTGTGAAAGACTAGGAGTTCTGAAAGAACTGAAAAAAAAAAAAAAATTTAAAGTTTTAATGGTCATCACAAATGTTCTTTAAAACCCCAAAATCTTCTCTGATATTATGGCAAGATGCTTAGTGTGGAAATAGTACCTGTACAAAGATATGCACCGCTACCCAAAGTGTAATTTTTAAACATATTGAAAGCTTCTAGTATTGAGGTATTATAGTGCCTGTATAACACAGCTTTTAAACAAAACTCCCTGTTAAAGTGAATGAAATCCATAGGTTCCTCCTGAAAGAAAATGAAATTTTCTTCCAGTGTTTTCATGAAAACTCCTCTTAAATCCTTTCTTCTTCTTTCCCTCCTGCCCCCTCTTCCAGAGAAAATGACCGGGTTGTCATAGTTAATGGGACCCCAATGGAAAATGTTCCACATTCTTTTGCAGTCCAGCAGCTTCGTAAAAGTGGAAAAGTGGCGACCATTGTAAGTAAATTACAAGTGTATTCACTCTACAGTGGTTTGTATCTGTGTAACCAGTCAAGGCTGTGGTTTTCTTCTCTGAGGTGTACTATAAATGCGTACGGCCGAGCAAGCCTTTGCTCAGTAGGATGCACAAAGTAAGTAAAAAAAAAAGGCAAAGACATCGTTTCTACAGGTGAAACAACTGGAAATTAAACAACAGTGTCAAAGTTAATCCTCTTGAAAAACTGGGAATAAAATATATGTCCTCAATCTTTCTTTTTACTGAATAATGGGTAGTAGTTGGGAAAAAAAAAAACCAGTTATGTGAGACAAATGATGTCTCCTGCATACACAGACCTTGTCCAAGAATTTGCTGTCTGGATTGGCTTTCATTAGTTGAGAGAGGCACCTACAACTCTCTCTTTTGGAGCCTTGTCACATTTTTTAGAAGTTATCTGGGAAAAGAAAACCAGTATTTACTATTCACAGTCTCGCAGAGGTAAAAGATGCTGGTCTGATATGTTTTTTAATTCTGTTCTTTATCCTCCCAATTAGTAAATATTTCTTTTGCACATCTAAATAATCCTATTTACTGGTTGTTCTGTAAAAAGAACATTGTTGTGTTTTTTTTTTTATCTTCCCAACCTCTGTTTGAAGTGTGAAGGATATTCATCTTCAAATTTCACATTCTGACCGTTGGAAGTTTTTGTTTGTTTGTTTGTTTCGTGTTGCACTGAACAGGTAGTGAAAAGACCAAGGAAAGTGCAGGCTGCTGCACTGAGGAGAAGCCCTTCCCTTGACTATGAGGACAGAGCTTTAGATGTAATGGATGACCACGCAGAATTTGATGGCAAAAGTGCTCGAAGTGGCTATAGCGAGAGGAGCTGGCATACTGGTAATGGAGGGCGCAGCCAAAGCTGGGGAAACAGCCTGGATCAGAGCTATAGAGATGAACAAGACAGAGGGCGGAACCGAAGCCGAGGCCGTGACAGGGAATGCAGCTACAGCCGCGATCGAAGTCGTGGTAGGAGCGTCGACAGGAGCTTGGATCGAGACTATAGAAGAGATCGGAGCAGGGGAAGGAGCATCGACAGGGATGGCGGCTATGAACGGGACTACAGAGGAGACTACAGCCCACCCAGTTACAGTCACGGCTCTCAGCCTGATCCTAGATACGGGAGGGAAGTGAGGAGTCGAAGTCAGGACAGGCTTCGTTCCCGAAGTCCCACGCCTGATCTACACCTTCAGCATGAGTACCTAGGACCGCAGGATCAGAATGGACCGGTTAGTGTCCTCTTAACAAAGGGCCGACATAACGAAGGTAGGTACAGCAGGGGAGGAGAGGAATTGGCTTTTAACACAGCATGCGGTTTGGGTGGGGGAGGAGAGGAGCTGGCTATTCTCTGCTTTCACAGGTCAAGTGCAAGAGTTTTCTAACTGATGGCTTAAATTGTTCTTTCATTCTTCCTGGCTGGTTTAGGATGGGTTTTTGCCCCAGCACCTTGAACTTCACCTTTGAACAAAGAACTGTTCACCCAAATTGTTTCAGTCTTTGCAAGCCCATGTGTCCTTTGATTTTCCATTTTCTCTGTCCTATTCTTCTGGTTATGGAGGGAAACATGAATCTGATCATGGTTCAGATAACACTTGGCACGTCTACAGAAGGGTCAGCTACAAAGGGTGAAGAGCAGTCTCTGCCTTTAATAGTTCATCTACTTCTTCTTCCAGTATAATTAAATTAGTTCCAAGGATTGTTTGGTTCTGAATACTTCATGATGTAGTTAAAGAGTAATGAAATGGCAACACCTGAAACAGCCTTTCCTTGCTGAGTACTGGGGTGTGTAAATGAATGCCAAAAGCCTGATCTCTTATGTGCTGTGAGATAAAGACTTGTGCTGTATCCAAGATTAGGTTGTACATTCTTTTCTGTTTGGCCCTTTTTTCTGGGGGTGGTGGAGGAGTAGCAATAAGAGTTTTGTGGGTTGTTGGGGGTTTTTTTCTAATCTGCCCTGTTGTGATTTCTAAGAATCTTCTGCTCATGTAAGCTTTGTATGCAGGAGCTAACCTCTTTTTTCACTGACTCTGGCAAGGATTCCTTTCCCTCCTTCCTCTTCTTCCCCTGCATATAATGTTTCCACTTGTAAAGATAATGCAGATAAGTATACAAATAAGGAGAAATTTAAGGTGTATTTATGAAGTTTTATGTGTAGCTAGTAATTCTGTAATAATTTCTGCCTTTTGTGTGGATACTCTGCAGGCTCACTCAAAAAAACCAGTTAACTTTCCTTTCCTGTTCTAGGATTTGTGTGTTTTAAAAGTAGTGCCTTTCTTTTTAAGTAGCAAACACACTGATCTAAGTGACTTGGATGAAAAGAGAAAAAGGGGAGAGAGAAAGAAAAAAAAGAAAGAATTTCTTTTCCTGAAACGACCAAGACTCTTACTGCGGGACAGATGGGACAGGGTCAGCATGGAGCAACTGGAAAAAAACCCAGCTCGTATATTAGTGCTTCCTGACCCTTTTCCCTCCCTTTCTAGGCCATGCAAAATAGGATACAGAGAGAGAACCTAGTCCAGCATGTTAATAAGCATGTCTAGAATGAAGACATTGTTTTGGTGTTAAAGGTGCCCACTAATCATCCATCTGTGATGGGTGTTTGTTCTTCCTGTGGCGACAGCACAGAAACAGGAGAGTTAGCGCCTAGGGTTAAGTGGGTTACTGGGTCCGTGGGTTTTTTTCTTTTCTTTTCTTGTGGTGTAACAGGGTGTGCTGCTGCATGCACACTCTGTAGTTTTAAAAAAAAACATAAAATACTCGGCCATCTTCTGAACTACAGTGGTTTGTTTATCTGATTCCAGAATATGGTCTCCGGCTTGGAAGTCAGATCTTCATAAAAGAAATGACCCGCACTGGCCTAGCAACCAAAGACGGCAACCTTCACGAAGGGGATATCATT